AAAGCGGATATTAAGTTAGCTACCTGTGATAAGGATTGGAAGTATCGAAGAACCACGCTTTATTTGCAACCCCAAAAAGCAACGCAGCTATTTTTGAATAGGGCGGAGAGAGCGAAAGATGTCACTTGGGGATGCTTCTCTATATATGTATTTGGGTTTGGGAAGCTGCGAGAGTGAGTGAGTGTCACAGCATCATCCATCATTTTGGACTTGACCTTTTTTGGGCTAAGCTTCCGTTTAACGCAGACTAAAGGCGAATCTTTAATATTGTGTTTGCTATCTATCGCAGAGTGAGATACAGTCGAGGTGCACATGTTACATCCGAAGGACGCAAAGATTGTCCGACGAGAGGGCGGCAACAGTCAAATGTCAGACAGACCGACCACATGAGCGACTCTCTGGGTAAAATGCCTTGCAATGTCCCATTGTGAGCTTTGTATATAAAAACATATTTTCCCAGTTGGTTTTCACTTCTGTGTCGTGTTAAAAATGAATTTGTCATCTGTAAACGGTCTGACATGTTTGCCAAAAAAATAAATCTCATTCACTCTCCACCTTTTTGATCATCTCATGTCTGGTGAGGTCCGTTGGGCAATACATCAATTGTTGTTCGGTGGTTAACTTAACTCCTGAACGCAGTTAAGCCCAAGTCTGCAAGTCCCTGATTGATTTGCATTGAAAATTGTGATTTTAATTGACATGCGATGAGCGCAGCATACAACAGACCAATAATTATGTCAATCTGCTCAGCTCGTGATCGATGGATTCTACCTAAATTGGATTAAGATTGTTTTTTCAAGCGAGTTTTAAAGAGGTTGGGGGACTACACTATATTAAACAAACAATAATACTATTGATTTCTTAAAAAGTTCAAGGTGGGTCTTGCTTTCCATCTAAAACCTTAATTGTTTATAAGCTTCCTATAGCTAGTAATGCTATTTTGAAATAATATTCAATCTGTATACAAAATGAAAAAATTGTACACATTGTAATTTCCAAAATATATATTTCTCTTTTTTGCGGCCAATTCGACGTGCAGAATAAACTGGAATTATTGAGCACTCGAAACATAAATGTAAACAAATGCACATTATTTTTGGTGGTTACAACTCTTTTGGAGTTATTAATTGAAATTCGTACACAGGTCACATAAATGGAACAGAACGGGCCGAACGTGCTAGATGTAATATGCCATAAAAATAGCAATAAGTGGGACAATTATGAACCAATAGAGGCGAACACATAAAGGTGGAGGCAGATGGAAATCGTGGGGAGAGGGAGTCGGACAACATGGTTCCCTGGGCTTTATAATGGCCCCGAATCGTTTAGCTTTAATTCAAAATGGGTGGCTGAAGGTGGGCCAAAAAAGGGGGAGTTCGCGTCAGGTGAGCGGTGGGTGGTGATTATTATAAACGCATCGTTCAGATCATTGGCCAAATGGCTTTGCGAACAATTTGTTGCTTCGCTGCTGATTGAATGGCGGCCATATAGCCCTATAGTGTGGAATGGTGTGCCATGGAGCTAAAGAGCGTGAAATTTATATGCAATTAAAATAATATTTTTCCAGCCGAGTAAAAACATTCATGATTATTACCGAGCACACATATAAAATAATTATTGATATCTCTATATCACGTATAGATTTTTATAGCCAACAGCTGTCAGCAAAATGTGCGCGAAATAATAATTTCCTTTGGTTCGAACAAATTTGGGAAAATATATGTATACCTCCCATTAAAGCCGAGTTCAAGGACTTTGCCGCCAGATCTATTTTCTTCGGTTATTTTTTAAATTCTTAGAAAGTGCAAAGGGGATAGCAGGCAGAGTGACTGCTGCGGTTAATGGCTTTTGAATGCAAATTCAATTTTATCGCACTCTGTTCACTTTTTAATAAGATTTCCACCCAGCCCCACTCCCTCCCCTCGACTGCTGGCGAAAGGTGCACTCTGTTGGAAATGAAAATTAGTTGCAAGAGCCGAAAAACAAAAAGAAAGGCTGGGAGAGAAATGAAATGAAAGCCCAGAGACACGCGACTTGCGACCTGCGAGAAATGCTTTTTGGCGCCACAAGCAAACCTGTCTCTTTTTTTCCCATTAAAAAGTGGTGGTATTTTTACACTCAAAAAATATAATTGTTATTTAGTTAAGAAAATGCTATCTGACTTGATAATTGTCCAATAAATTTATTTTACTAATTATAATTATTTAGAAACTGTTATAGGGCAGTGACAAAAATGATTTTTCCCGTGTTTGTTTTAAAAACGTTCTTCATCCCTTCGTAAACGTTGCGTCTACATTTTGGGTATTGTAATTTACCTGTTACATTCTTTGAGTTTAAGGAACATTTTTTTATGAAAAACTTAAAGAATTTTTGATTTTTTCTAAGTGCTTTTCTGCTCGAGAGGCACTGCCCACAATCCAACAAATTGCGTTTCGTGTGCGAGAGTGGGTGGGAAAACTGTCAGAATGAATGAGTAGCCCGGTCACACCTACTCGCTGTCAGTCAGGCCCGAATTCGCCCCTGAGCAGCCCCCAGTTGGAAATGGCAATGGCAATGCCAAGTGCCTCAAGCAGTTGCCTTGAATCGGACCTGGGATCGGGAATCGGACAAAAAAGAAACTTTAGACTGCAAAATATTCAGGGACAGAAACAATACCCGCTGATGGATAGATAGCTCACTACATTCTTTTCAATTAGGTAAATGGTCTTTGAGTATGATTAGAAAGTGTCTACTGGGTACTTTAAGGTGGAACTAAGGGGAAAGTCTCTTGTGGGAACAAGAAACAGTCCGAAAGAAAAATGATGCCCATTTAATAAATTAAGACATTTAAGTTGTACTATTATGTCTAAAGATTTTTTTTTAACCGAAAGTAATTTTTGTACATTGTAAAATAGATATTTACCAAAGAAAGACACCTATATTTCGTTCATAAATCAAACAGAAAAGCTCCGTGAGCTTGAACCGGACGTAACTGCAGCTCCACCCATTAAAGCCAGTTCCATCTTTAACTGAAATACCCGAAATGGCCGCACAAAGTGCGCAGTCATATTCATGAGCTTCTCATCAGCTGCATATAGAAATGGGAATGTTCGCTGATTATCAAACGAAAATATTTGCTAATCACGCAGCTGCTGCCGCTGCACGAAAAATATCAAATATTGCTTATGAAACTGCATAAACTTGGCAGCAGTTCGATGGGGAAAGGGAAAAGGGGAAGGCCCGAGGGGGACAGACTGGATCTCGAACCCAACCCTATAGGAATTAAGTTCCAGGCTAGACGCTATTATTTCCGACAGCATGATTTTATTTGCCTTTGCCCATCATCATCATCATCGAGATCCAACCCCTTGCTTGGGATCTCCTCCCTCCTTCGAATAATAGACTCCTGAGAGAAGTTCTGCGTTTCCTTGAGACTTTCCTAGCTGGGATTTCCTGCTTATTTTTTGCCATCGAAACTTCTCAATTACAAAGTTGGGTTCCCGGAACGAGCTGGGCAAAAGTGGGGATAGGAAGTACTGCCACTTGACCGCTCGTTACGTGCTGCATGTGTTGACCATGTCAAACCGGCTGGGAAACTTCCGCTTAGCGAACTTTGAGGTTAATTATTTTCCACTCTTGATAGAAGCCAACTTCGGGAAAGAATGTTTCTTAGCCAATATGATGTAGTTATATATAGTCTGCAGCTCGAAACAACTTTGTCACCAAAAAAGATAAACAAATACGATGTGCCAATATTTTAAGCTGCTCTCCTCCACTTTGAAGTAGTCAAGTATGTTACTTTGCAGGTGAATGGAGCCTTAAAATATTTACACACCTCAATAAGCATTCAACGATTTTTTCCTGCATTTGCATGTGAGCCATTTATGCCGATGTTTTCGCGTAAGCCTCCATTAAATTCCAGAGTAAACATAAGCCCAAAAAGTTGCAATAACTGGCAGAATTTTAACGGTACCTTAATTTTACCATTAACAAGAAAGGAAGCTAGCTTCGGCCAGCCGAAGCTTATATACCCTTGCAGATCATTCCTATTAATTTACTAATCGCAAAAATGTTCAATTTTGTAATATTTCTCATTAACTTTCCGATCGTTCCTATGGCAGCTATATGATATAGTCGTCCGATTTTGATCAAATTAAAATTGAAATTCGAAAATATTTAAAAAGAGTCATATCCTAGAGTAGGGGATAATACAATAAAAACCAAAGAAGCTAGAATTTATTTCCTATTACTTTTCCATTAATTTTCCGATCGTTCCTATGGCAGCTATATGATATAGTCGTCCGATTTTGATTAAATTAAAATTGAAAAGAGTCATATCCTAGATTAGAAGATAATACAATAAAATCCAAAGAAGCTAAAATTTATTTCCTATTACTTTTCCATTAATTTTCCGATCGTTCCTATGGCAGCTATATGATATAGTAGTCCGATTTTTTAACTAATTAATTCGAAATTCAGATATATTTAAAAAATAACATCCCCAAAAGTAGAAGGTAATATTTCAAAAAACACCGAAGCTAGAATTTTTTAAAGTTTTTTTTTTCCGATTGTTCCTATGGGAGCCATAAGATATAGTTGTCCGATCCGGTCGGCTCCGACATATATACTACCTGCAATAGAAAGAAGACTTTTGGGAAAGTTTCATCCCGATAGCTCAAAAACTGAGAGACTAGTTTGCGTAGAAACAGACAGACGGACAGACGGACAGACGGACAGACGGACAGACGGACGGACAGACGGACAGACGGACATGGCTAGATCGACTCGTCTTGTGATGCTGATCAAGAATATATATACTTTATGGGGTCGGAAACGTCTCCTTCACTGCGTTGCAAACTTCTGACTGAAATCATAATACCCTCTGCAAGGGTATAAAAATAAATATGTGTAGAGCCTTATAATTTAAATCAATTTTTTGAACATAATACTTACTAATTTATTGTATAATACTTTCTTTTCAAATCCCTTGCTAATTTAAACTCTTTCTCTTCTCGTTTCAGGTGATAACTCTATAAGTAAGTACCTACCCTCTAAACAAACAATTTCTCACCCATTGCGCAATACCTTAAACCACAAACCATTAGATTCTCCAATTGGCCTAAAACTATAAGAAAAATCAAAAACATTTTGCATTCGTTGTGGGAGATTCTTCAAGGCGAAACCGTAATTTGAGGGCCCAAACCGCAGAAGTCTGATTAAATCTTATTATACCAATTTCGGTCCAGCCTACAGGGATGTGTGCAAAAAACCGCAAAGCGAAAAATGTGAATTTCAATAATTACACTGTGCAGCATTTTTAGTGCTTTTTAAATTTACCTCGATGGATGCTATATTTTTGTATTCGTTACGAATTCCCAAGTTAAACTGCTTTTTCCAAAAAGTTCCCCGACGCAAGGATTCTTAGCAAAAGGACCTCATAGTTAGAAAAATGCAGAAATTGTCCAACTTTCCGGAGCTCTCAGAGGCAAACGGATTCATGGATTGATTCGATGTTAACGTTTTTTAAAAGATACACTCTTTATCTTTCAAGCCCCATACTTAGAATAATATTAGGATTTTTTTTAAGACAGAAATAAATTCCAGAAAACATAGTCAAAAAACTTAAAAACATACAGGTGCGGTCAAAATAGAAGTAGTGTTACCGCCCTGTGTTTTTAAAAGTTTGTTGTTGTAATTCATCTTCTTCTGGTAATATTGTATTGATTATAATTGTACTATTAGACTCATTGGATAAAAAAAAGTCAAAACAACAAACTTTTAAAAACACAGGACGGCAACACTACTACTATTTTGACCGAAGCTGTATGCTTTTATGTTTTTTGACTATGTTTTCTAAAACTTGTTTCTCCCTTAATAAAAATCCTATAATTATTCAAAGTATGGGCTTTGAAAGATAAAGAGTATATCTTTTAAAAAACTTTAACACCAAATTAAACAATGTATCCGTTTGCCTCTGAGAGCTCCGGAAAGTTGGCCAATTTCAGCATTTTTCGAACTTTGAGGTCCTTTTGCTAAGAATCCTTGCGTCGGGGAACTTTTTGGAAAACGCAGTTTAACTTTGGAATTCGTAACGAATCCAAAAATATAGCATCCATCGAGGTAAATTTTTGATGCTGCATAGTGTTATTGTATAGCCATTTCCCTTGAAAATTTGCTTAGCCAAATAATTATATCGTTTCGGTGGAAAAGATCTGGCAAGTTGTGGCGACCATTTTGTGTATCAAAATCATCTAGAGTAAGCCACAAATCAACCATAAAACCGAGAAAAAACTGAGCCAATCAAGCGGCGACCATTTTGGAGACGGTTCAACGGAAACGTCGCTTTTTCATGTTCGTGACCAAAGTTTAGGTTTATTTTTTTTTGGAGGAAGGGAAGACAACAACGCAAACACGGCTGAAAATAAAAAACGCAGACAGAGAAAAATACATATTTTACCTGAATTAAATTGAGTAACAAAACACGAAAGTTTTTTATTCGTATATGTGTGTGTGTGGTGGTGCCTATATATAATTTAAGAAATATATGTAGACCAATCTTGTTCGTGTTTTTAGTTGTTTGCTGAAAAGGGAGAGAACCACAAACACGCTACCAGTTTAAGCTTGGCCCACACCGCACACACCACACACACCACCACACTCCGAAAGTCTCTCTCACTCTCTTTTTCTGGCTTTGTTGCGGAGGAAATAATTACATGATTGAGGTACTCCACACACACTTGCTCGAATACCCACAATGACAAACACTGGCCCTTCCCCTTTCCAAGTCCCCCGATTTGCCCACCTCGATGTATTATTTTTTGCCTTTTGGTGGTGGTCGTTGTCTGATCGAAAAGAACATGTCAGGTTTCCCGACCTGGCCATTGCACGCCTTGGGTTCTCCGTTTCTGTTCTCTGTTCGAGTATGAATGAATGACCGCGCCATGGCGGCTTTTTATAGCGAGTGGTAGTGGTTCTTGCCGGTCTGCTTTTTTTCATCGTTCACATTTTTAGGTTCATGCACATGAAGAAATATTTATAATAATGCTTTGCTTGAAACATGGATAAAATGTATACTTTTTGAAAGAAACTTTCAATGTCCTGTTGATATATTAAAAGAGTTAAGGTAATCGGAATCAATAATTAAGTCATTTTCTTATATACATTGGCTGTTTCGAAATTTTGAAACAAACTTTGCATCTCAAAAATTTTTGTTTGTTTGATAGGTTGGATGCTAAATATGTTTAAAAATATCATTTTATAAGGGATATTAAGTTATTCGATGTTATACCTGGTGGAAAGAAACTTAAGTAATAAATGAGTGTGATTTTTTTTATGTTTGGATTAAAGTGTTACTTAAAAATTCCATTAGTTCTTTGGAAGTTTTTCCAAGCCCTAGGCTGATTTGAAGTATTTATTGAAGTGTATTTAATTTACGCTAAGCCGCAACAATGTCGACTGACGACTGCCGACGGTCGAAGGCCCTGGCCCAGGGCAATTATTGTATCGCTGGCTCTACCCACTCTACTACCCCGTCGCCCTACCACCGACTTACCCCTTGAAACTCCTGCTGGGCCACAAAACGGTAACCACTCTGCGATGTTGTTCGTGTGTGCGCCAGGAGCAGAGTTGAGGTCAGAGCCTTGTCGTGCTGTAATTGGCTGGCTGTGGGTTGGTTATTTCACAGGACATAACCAACACCCACACTGGAAGGGCGCCATGTGTCACATAGGGCCCATATATATCACCGAAATCGGTTTCTAAGTATACGTAGGTACTCAAGAGGGTTTGTTGTTTATATCTTATGTCAATAATCCAATGTTTTTATAATTTAGTTGTTTTTTTTTTTTTATCTAAATATATATGTTCTCCATACGACATAGCATTTACTTAACAGAATATATATCAGTTATAAGAATCTGTGGAAGATCAAAAATATTTAACAACCCGAAGAAACTGAAATTTAACCTCATTTTAAGACTCTTGCTCTATAGATTGCAGGTTAATTTTTCCTTGATACTTACACTTATCAATCGGCCATTTCCTTTAACTAATAAAATGGTCCTTCTTGCAATATAATTTGGGACTTCGTCGAATGCTGTTCTTACTACAGTGCCTCTTTCGATAGATCATGATATGTGTATAAGCTATTACTCCGACTTGTCAGTCATGAGGATTTCCCATTAATTTTGCCTGACCTCTAAAGTTCCGCCCCCAAAAGAAGCAGACGAAAAAAAGACTCTCCCCACGCTCAGACCTTCGAGCTCGCAGCTCGGATCTTCCCACACCATCCCCCTTGGAAGTATTTCCATCTGTGGTGCAGTGGCAGGATTAATTTCTAATTTCGCCTAATGTCCAAGAGCTGCCCAGTTCGATGTTTACATTTCGGGTGTCTCGACTTCTAATTTACCTTGATAAAACGTTACCATTCCCGTTCCCATGCCCTGCCCTGTCCCCGGGCTGTTTTTGTCTCTGCCCCCTGAACGCATTCGGGCCGTAGAGGTAGCCGGACTCGCAGCCGGATTGGGAATCGTAGTCGCAGAGTCGGAGACGGGCCCACATGTTTGCATCATTAATCATGACGTTTCAGCTCTGACACATTTGGCCGATCGGCGGCAGCGGCTGCAGCAGAAGCAACGGCAAGCGGATTGTAATGAACACGTTTTGTAAGGCAGACAGCGAGAAAAACGCGGAGACACAGATACACTTACAGATACAGATACTCGTGCAGAAGTAAACCCACAGAGTCAGATACAAACGCAGACGCAGACTGAAAGATATGGCCAGAAAGCGGATGGAAGACGAGTATGAAGACGACGAGCTTGAGACAAACGCACGTCAGCTATGGACGTCGACCACTGCGGATGCGTGTGCACTTAAAGATATTTCTAATAGACACTAACATTTACTAAATATTTTAAAAACGCTCGAGAGCCAAGAAAATTAGTGCTGAAAACCTTAGTTCTTAATGTTCCCAAGAAAAGCCTACAATGTTTGGTTAATTCCGAAAATTTTTTTATTACTTTTACTGTTGATAAGCAATTTAAGGAAATCCCTCCTAAAGCAAGAACTTTTTTTAAAATTTATTTTCTGGACTCTTCTTCTCATAAAGTTGAAAGCTCATATATATATTACTGATAAATTGTAAACATTTTATTAGATTTTCAAAAAACGATTTTAAGTCAAGTAAATATTTTTAAGTGTACCCGCGGAGTGGCGAGAAAAGGGCGAGCGGGCAGAGACAATGGGCTATTTGAAGACAAATATTTTCACAATGCCAGCAAAAGACAAAGGGAACAAAACCAACAGGCAGCCGAGGCAGAAGGCAACTCATGTAAATATTGGCCAAAACTATTTACGAAACTATTAGCTGCTCTTATGGGCAAGACTAATTGTGACGCTCCGGGGAGGGTGCGTTTATAAGGCGGTATAAGAAGGAGATAAAGGGACGTTAATAGGGGAAGAGTTTCGTAAGGATTGCATAAGGACTACGCACAATAATGAGGTTTAAACGATGAAATGGTTAAAGCGTGAAGAATGATGTCTGATGTCTGTAAGCTGAAAACATACCTTCAAAATTCAAATATTAAAAATTCAATATTTCATTCCCTTTAAACAGACTTTAAAAAATTCACCTTCCTTTGACCGGCAACGTCAATTTGCACACATTTTGCACCGTTACCTTGTGTCCCCCAACCAACAACCTTTCTACAACTTTAAGTAATGCAGTCTTTAAAGCACTTTTACCCCGGCTTTCGGCAAGTTTCTGACTGAAAGGCCATTTGTCCTTGGTATCAGCAGAGCTGCTACTAAACCAAATCTAGGTTGACTTATATACTTCCGTTTCCGGCAGCGAACATACGCTCCAACTCAGGTCGGATCCCCAGCCAAACCGCCGCTCGTGTTCAGGGGATTTTTTATGGCCGACTCTCGGGGCGGGGAGGATGTGAAGCGGAGTGTGTACTTGGCGCAGAAACAGAATTTTATGCAAATATCCTAATCAAATTCACATTTTGAAGTTCAACTGTTTTATCCAAAA